GCCAAGTTCCACTGGAAATGGTGTATTGGGACAGAGGTGTAGAAAATCCCTTTCTCTCAATTTAGCTGAGAGAAGAATAGAGATTTTTTCAGAAGCATTCTTTCCTTGTAAACCAATGCAAGCAGAATAAACAGAGTATAGGCATGGATTGTAGTTGCAACATGACTCAGCCACAGTCTGCTCACAGGCTGGTGTCGCCGGCACTGCTGTGGACTCTTGCCACCCCCCTCCCCCAACCCCTTTCCTCATTTCTTTACTCTCTGTATTCCTGGGAACAAGGGTTCTTGGGTTACCAGTTTGAGGCAGGTCTGGATTGGTGGGTTCCCAGGATTTGTGGCGTTCTCTGTTAGCTGTTATCCACCCCAATTCCTGATGTTGTGCCCTCGATAGGGACTTCCTCCCATGATTCTTTCTCAGGCTTCTGGCCTTCCTGTGGTAACCTTGGTGGTGGTTATTAACTTCATGATCTTAAAAATTTGTTTCTGAATAGGATTGTATTGACATAGTTCAAAAATTTTACACATAGAGCAAGGGTATACAGTATAATCTCCCACCCCTGTATCCTAGAAACCAGTTTTCCATTCTCTCTTCCTCAAAGATAAATATTAGTAAGAGTAGCTTATTAGGTATTCTTGCAGAGTTCTTTATGCATATATAAGGAATACATATGGAAACACAGCTGATGATACTGGATACTTTATACAAGGTCTGGGACTGGACTGGGGTCTGGTGATGTGGTATGGTATCTGCAGGACAGTGTCTTCCTCAGACTTCAGGGAATCAAGTCAGCTAAAGTGTTTCATTGCCTCACATAATTTCCAGCAATAGCTTCAAGCTTCTCCAAGGCTTTATGTGTAGACATGTATAAGAGGACACAAAACCCCAGTGCTTTTTCACATATGAGTTTAAAAAATGCCGGCACGGTGGCTCATGCCTGTAATCCCAGCACTTTGGCCAAGGTGGGCAGATCACTTGAGGCCAGGAGTTTGAGACCAGTCTGGCCAACATGGCAAAACCCTGTCTCTACCAAAAATGCAAAAATTAGCTGAGAGCAGTGGTGGGCGCTTGCAATCCTAGCTACTTAGGAGGCTGAGGCACAAGAATCACTTGAGCCCGTGAGGTGGAGGTTGCAGTGAGCTGAGATCGCACCTCTGAATTCCAGCCTGGGCAACAGAATGAGACTCTGTTTCAATAAAAAACAGTTAATTAATTACAAAAATAGGCTGGGCATGGTTCATGCCTGTAATCCCAGTACTTTGGGAGGCTGGCGCCAGCAGATGATGAGATCAGGAATTTGAGACCAGCTTGGCCATCATGGTGAAACCCTGTCTCTACTAAAAATACAAAAAAATTAGCCAGGCATGGTGATGCACACCTGTAATCCCAGCTACTCTGGAGGCTGAGGCAGGAGAATTGTTTGAACCCACAAGGAGGAGGTTGTGGTGAGCAGAGATCATACCATTGCACTCCAGCCTGGGCAACAGAGCAAGACTCCATCTCAAAAAAATTAATAATAATAAATAAAACATAAATAAATAAAATGCATATGTGTTCCATGTGTTTAAAAATCAAGGAGCTATATATTTTGGTTTTAAGGGCCTATGGGGAAACCCATTCATATATATATATAAAACTGACTTGAACAGCCAGTTATAAGCATGGAATTGACCAACAAATGTGTTAGTGTTATGTAAACTCAAATGTGTATTCTTATTTTTCTCTTCTCATTTTACCAGGTGCCCTGTTGTGTGCACACGTTGTTCTGTATCTCACATTGTTTCTTTGCTTACTATGACTTAGATCTTTCACATCCTTATTTAGAGCACTTCTTCACTCCCTTTTTTAATAGTTCCATAGAATTCCATTGCCTGGATGAACAATCTCTTTATTAGCATTTTACTGGTACACACTTATGTTGATTCCTATATTTTGCTGCAGTGAAAAACTCTGCACAGATATGACATGTAACCCTGTCTAACTCATAACATGCCCAGACAGAAGGCAGGATTTTGTAAGGGATAAGGGCAGTACAGCTTATTGATTTGACCACCTAGAGCAATTGAATCTTGATTTAATGATTAAGTAAGGTCTTTTCTGTTCAGATAACTCTATGAACAGTACCTTGTGGAGAAGGTTTTACATTCTGGATTTGATCAAAGGACACGTGTGTGGTTCTCCTGCTGTACCTGGCTATGGTCCATTACATTTAAAGTATAGACAGCAGATTCCCGCATCGTGTCTGGTTTCTCTTCAGTAAAGAACTAGTTATCACTATCAGCCTGGTGGAAGGCCTCTCCTCATGCTCTGCTTCTTTATTCTTACCCATTACCGTCTCATCATTCCTGTTTGGCTGCTTCTAGCTTCAGAGTCCTTTTCGTTAAGTCTTTGTCTTGGAAGTTGCACCGTCTGCTCTTTAGATTCTGCTCTGTTATTGGCTGATTTCTACCTAGACTTTCTCTTCCTTGGACACTCTGCAGATTTCTGGCCTTGGCTGTGGCTTGCTGCACCCTGGCTGCAACACAAGGCTGCTGTGCTTCTACCCTCCCTGTAGAGTGAAGCCCCTTCCTTTCCTCCCTGATAGGAGGGGAGGAGATGTCTTGGGTTCCTCAACTAGATAACATTATGATGCTTTTCTGAATCCCACTGTGAGATACCCCGGGGCAGCCTTTACTTTTTCCATCACATCCACGCAAACTCACAGTTATTACACAGCATAGATCCCTCCTCCATGCTGCTCTCCATGAGGGTGTCCATAGTTTTTTACCTTGAAGGCCCCTTAACCCTGACCTCTTTCTTTTTCAGTCTTACCCATGGCATCTTCATGAGCAGAGTGTTTTCCCATTGTGGGTTCTTTGGGACACCAGTTCCACAGCATTTTATTTGATCGGAGAATCATGTTCATCCCACAGCATCGTGAGTACCCAAGGTATCTCCTTGGGAAGCTCTGCCCTAAGCAGCCCATCGTTAGGACTTGTTTTTTCACTTTAGCACAAAATTTGGCTTCTTCACATATGGTTTTGAGCCTTCCCATGGACCATGAAGACATTGTTGGGAGGTGTTTCTTCCTCCTGTGGTCAGAAGCAATCTCCTTACTTCTTCCTGTTTCAAAGCCTCCATCCACTTGGGACTGCCCTGTAGGTTGCTGTTTCCTGTCTGAGAAACACCTCTAGCTTCTGCCTCAAAGAATACGGATATCTAACCTGCTCTTAGCTCAGTGGCTTTTGAAGAAAGCTTCTCTCTCTCGGATCACACCAGCTCACAACCCCTTGGGTTGTGTTGATGGGGTGGCCCTCCATGAGCCTGCCATTAAATTGGCTCTCAAAATGCAGCATCCACAACAGACATATGTTCTGTCCTGGGAAAAGGAAGGTATTTTCTTTGTTCAGTCTGTGTTTGTGGCTTTCCAGGGCTTTTTCTGGCACAGAGATTCAAATCATGGGTGGTTCTCTCTTCTTTTGTCTAATTTTATTGTGCTGTTTTCTCTGCACATAACAACATCTTGCTATAACGTCCTGTTTATCGTTCACGGACATGTGTGAACGTGTTTTGGGGGAGTAGGTACTCAGCAAGGGTTGTCAGAGACTTGAGCATTTGCTCCTTAATAACCATAGCCAATGGGATGAATAGAGAAAATCATCTGAAGTCATGAAGGGTTTACTCCCTAGGGAACTCACTGGATCTGGGGAGCCAGTTATTCTTGTTTTTAGTTCCCTTACCTTGTCTGGATCAAAATATAGTATAGATAGTTTCATTATTTGTCACAAGGAGAAGGAGAGCTGGTGTCAATATCCCTATCTTCCATTGGTAGTTTTAAATTTTTTTGAAATGGAGTCATGCTCTGTCACGAGGCTGGTGTACAATGGTACAATCTCAGCTCACTGAAACCTCCACCTCCCAGGTTCAAGCAGTTCTCCTCCCTCAGCCTCCTTAGTAGCTGGGACTACAGGCATGTGCTACCACATCCAGCTAATTTTTGTAGTTGTAGTAGAGATGGGGTTTCACCATGTTGGCCAGGATGGTCTCAATCTTTTGACTTCATGATCTGCCTGCCTCCACCTCCCAAAGTTCTGGGATTACAGGTGTGAGCCACCATGCCTGGGCCCATTTGTATTTTATTAGCACTTAAGATCATCGACATCATCTTGTGAGTATATTTATTAATGTGCTATCTATTTACCAGCCCCCAAGAAGAGAAATTCCATGAGAGCGCAGACCTTGTCTGTCTTATTCACCTTTGTACTCCTGGTGATAGAACAACACGTAACACATAAAGAATCACTCAGTGCATCTACATTGCTGGATAAATAAAATCTGTCTGTTCTCTCTGCTGTGGTGTCCTTCGAAGACTGCCTCAGTCCATTGGGCTTGGGTGGTAAGACCACCCAAACCATGGTACCAACTTGAATTTTAGGTCTGGGGGGTGTTCTGGATTTAGAGGAGAGACAGGGTGGAGTTATGGGAAAAGACGTTGAATTTGTGAAAAGTCTGGGGTCAAATCTTGGCTCTGCCACTGACTTGTTTTGGGGAACTCTCTGAGGCATAATTTTTAAATCTGTACAGGAAGAATAATAATTACTCCTTTCTCTTTCCCCAAATACACTTTGTGATCCTTGGTTGAAGAATGTGTGAAAAATGTGTTTACATATTTGCTCTGTAAACATGGAGGACTGCAAAAATAATGGCCTTTTTTTCCCTTCTTTTTGCTTCATCTAAAGCCAGGTGCCCTGGCCTGCCCCTAGCAGCTCTGCTAGAATAAGGATTTCCTGTGGCGGGCTGCCCTCTTCAGAGTGTTACTTTCTCAGCGTGAACTGAGGAATGGATCTCCTTCTAGGATTTCCATCACTGCAATTCCATGATGAAAATGGGGGCAGGAGGATCAGGACCTAGGAAAGTGCCCCCCCACTTCTCAGGGCTGGCCCCAGCCCGTGCCACTGGTGAGCACATTGTCACCATTATTTGTACCATCAAGGGCTGCTTGACGGTATTTCTCTTCTTCCCAGGCGGCTGTTGAAGAGTGAACTTGGATCATTCATTACAGACTATTTTCAGGTAAGCCGTGTGGATCTGAGCATCTGTCATCATGCATGTGGGGGGATGGGCCTAAAGGGGGTGGCCAGTACTGTACAGCTGGACATGCCTTCCACAGCCAAAATGACGTGTCCCAAGTCCCTGCTGTGTCCTGTGCATCACAGAGGGGCACGAGGCCTGTGTGTCCCGGCAGCTGATGGAGATCGAAGGCCCATGCAGCTGTCCTCAGGCATTTTGGTCTCAGGACCTCTTTACACTCGTAAAATGCATTGCTTATTTGGGTTATGTCTAACTTTACCATAGTAGACATTAAACCTGAAGAGCTTTAAAATAGATCTTCATTCATTTAAGTAATAAGCCTAATACATACTAGCACAAATTACTTTTTTATGTAACAGAACTCTCAGAATAAAATAGTAAGATCTCTGCATTGTCTGGCTTCATAGAAGATAGTTGGATTTTTTTTTTTTTTTTTTTTGAGATGGAGTCTCGCTCTTGTTGCCCAGGCTGGAGTGCAATGGTGTGATCTTGGCTCACTGCAACCTCCACCTCCCAGGTTCAAGTGATTCTCCTGCCTCAGCCTCCTGAGTAGCTGGGATTACAGGCATGCGCCACCATGCCTGGCTAATTTTGTATTTTTTTTTCAGTAGAGATGGGGTTTCTCTATGTTGGTCAGGCTGGTCTCAAACTCCTGACCTAAGGTGATCCATACGCCTCAGCCTCCCAAAGGTGTGAGCCACCATGCCCAGTGACAGTTGGATTCTTATATCTGCTTCACTTTCAGTGTGTAATGATATTGCATGTCATATAGTTTTGGGAAAACTCCACTGTAAACTTGCAGAGAATGTAAGAGAAAAACAAATAGCTTAGTATTACTGAGAAAATAGTTTTGATCATGAGGATCCCTTGAAAGAGTTTCAGTCCCCCTAGGGGACCCTGAATCATACCACATCTGGATCCATTGTCTGATCCAGACAATCAGACTTCTCTGATGGCGGAAGGGAATGGGGAGGTGCTGGTTGACAGGGAGTAACTGGGTGGCACCTTAGTGAAGTCAGAGTCCCCATTTTCACTCATTTGCTGAGTGGGCAAGCTGTTTTACCTCTCTGTGCCTCAGTTTCCTCTATGAAATGGGAATAAAAATATACCTTATAAGGTTATTATATGCTTTATGTGAAATAACACATGTAAAGCACTCTGTACATAGTGTGTAGGGGGCAGTAGAGGGTAGTGGTCAAGATTGCAGCCTTTAGAGGCAGAGTGCCTGGATTCAATGCCCAGCATAGCCACTTACTAGCTGTCTGACCTTGAGCAAGTTGCTTTACCTCTCTGTATTTCCTTTTCTGTGAAACAGCAGTAAGAGGACCAAACCTCATACGATTGTTGTGAAGTAAGTTATTTCTAAAAAGTGCTCAGTGACTAGCAGAGAGTAAGACAGTAAGAAGTGCTTATTAAATTTATATAAGTGCCTATGTGTTATTCTAAGGTGGAATCCATCTCTTTTAATGGGAAAGTAGCATACAAATGCATAGCATCTTGGTTTCAGGTTAGCAATATTATTCTGTATCCAAATAGAGCATACTTTAAGACAGTTTAAAGAGATTTTAGGTTTTGAAAACAGTACAGGCATCCTTTTATAATTTTTCTTTGTGAGATTCAGGAAGCTTAAATTTTTATACGCACTTTAAAAGAATGACATGTCAGTTGTTTAAACACACACACACACACACGGGGACACCTCCTCTACATCTGGAGAAACCAACACCCACCAAAAGCCTGGAATTCAACTGGGTCATATGTTTCAGCTGCTTGGAAGACGGCTCCCGTTCAGGGAGAGACAAACATAAAGATGAAGAAAGAGGTCATTAGTCACAAATATGAATCATGTCAGTTGCCTTTGACACAAAGGTCAGTCTTGGCCGTACTCTCTTCTCTTGCTGTTGCTACTGATTGATTTTTTTTTTAATTTAACTACAGAGAAGTGGTTTTTCAGTCAGTCCTGGAAAAACCTGCTGGGTTGAGTTGCCTTCCTCCTTGACATTTAAAGGCTCCATGGTTTGGTGTGGTTTCAATCAGATTTCAAATGTCATTTGTCTTTTGGCGCTGGGGGTTACCCCTAAGACGGGTAGGGAAGGGTGTTTGGGTGGGGACTTGTTTATCTGGGAAACCCTGAGGTTTTTGAGGGCGGTTAATACTGCTTACAAAGCATGCCAGATACTTAAAAACTAATAACCACGTGTCATTTCCTATCGGGAACATAATCAGAGAAGCTGCTTTGTGAATATGGAGTTTCTTGCCAGGGGTGCGGGGTGAGGACTGGTTTTCACAGTTTGAAATAGAAGTTTTCTTTATTTAAGGTGCTGATCTGGAAAGAAGGCTCTCCTAGACACACTTGTTGTTGTTGTTTTAGTAGACTTTAAGTGTCATGTGGACACACAGCTTTTTTTTTTTTTTTTCTTTCTTAGTCTGTTTGGTTCCCCACTCCCTGCAAAGTTCCTGGAACATAATAGATGCTCAGTAAACTTTCTTGGGAGAGAGGGAGTGATTGTCTGCCATCGATAACCGAAATGATTTTAGGTGATGTGTGCAACAACATGAAATAACGTTAGGGCTCGTGGTTAAAACTGCCCCCCTCTTTTATTTCCCTTTTGCTCTTGGGATTGTGCTAAGGAGTGTCTTGAGTTGCACCATGGCGTCCTCTTCCGTCCTCCAGGACTTACCGATCTCCCTTGTTTGAAGAAGAGGGAGCAGTCCTCGAACTTCATATCTTCAGTTAGAGACACTTTCTAGTTAAGATTTATTCACATTATTTGGTTGGCCCTGAATTGATCATTTGATTGCCCTTGAATTGATCAATAGGTCATGGATACCTAGTTTTGTTTAAGATATATTTGTGTGCATGTATGTGTATGTGTATGTGCATGTATATGTGTGTGCACATATATGAATGTGTATATATTTATTCCACTCAGTATAAATGATGTTGCTATGGTTTCTGTTTTAAACATAGTTACATGTTTAAAAAGTGGATTGATTTCAGAAAAATAACATGCAAAGAATAATTGTGTAGGTGGCCCCGTCTCTAGCCATGGTCATGCGGGTGGGCCAAGAGAGACTCAGGTTTGGAAAGCCCATTGCCAGGCACTGGTTAAAAATAGGCTGGTTTCAAGCCATTCACTCTATGGAAGAAATCTCCATATGAGGAGGCACATCCCAGAGGGAAGCCTTGTTAAAGGGGAGCTTAGCCTTTACATTCAACTGTCAGATGTGTCAGGAGGGAAAGTCAGAAGGGACTCCAGAAAGTGTGTTCCTCCAGTAATGGGGCGGAAGGAGGGCCAGGAGATAGATGAGGAATGGAACCCAGGGATGGACAGAAAAGTTATCAAAACCATGGGTGTGGCTGTCAGAGAAGGTGAAAGATGGGCTTCCTGGGTGCAGGGCTCTGCAATGCAGAGGCTGAGATGGCCATGCCCAGGCATCCGCATTCAGCAGTCAAGTCTGTCTCCTCACCCTGATCCCCAGCTCAGAGCTTGCCACTTGTACAGCCCTCTCTGTGGCTCTGCTTTTAAGAGTGAACATTCTCATTTTATATGCTGTGAGACTTAACACAGAATGTTCTCAGTGAGGAATAATGAAAATGACCCCAGGTGAGGCCAAGAGAAAGCAGGTAGAAAAATTGTGCTTATCTCATGTCTGCACACACAGAAGACAGGCTGTGTGATCTGCAGAAGCCCAGATAGACATCCAGAAGGCACTGGCTGGAAAAGTCTCTGACATTTCCAGTATTGATTTTTTCCTTTTCTTCTGTTTTGAATTGTGCCCGGAAGAAAAATTGGAGTTTCCTAGAGAAACACTATATACTAGTGATAGCTCTGAGTGATAATTAGTTTCTTGTAGTTTTTGAAACTGATGATATGAAACATTTTGCATTTTCCTATTGCCTAATTAGATATCTTGGTAGTTCAGGGCATGGGGATGCTTGCAGATAGTACTTTCTGCCATTCTGCACCTACTGGCTTTGTTGTGTGTTATGAGCTTTCCCCCCAAGCCCAGAAGTTCAATTCCTTTAGTTGGAACTGGAGTTTTGCTTGATACAGAAACTCAGGCTAGAGTTGGTGGCTTTGAATGGGTTAATACTAGGAAGAGAGGAAACTTAGCTACCACAATTGTCAATAGGTGATGGATACCTGGTAGTGTTTGAGATATATTTGTGTGCATGTATGTGTACGTGTGTGTACATATGTATGTATGCATATATATTTATTTTTCCACTTGCTGCTCATATCTGCAAGAGTCCCAGGAGGCCAGTTTCCCCTAGAGTTTACAACATATGGCAGAGATCCGAAGAAGTATAGCATTAACTGTAGACCTGAATGGATGGCAAAGACTTTAAATCAGGCCTAGAAAAAACAATTATACTTTGTGGGGACAAAGATAGGACTTCTAAGTATTCCTGGCAAGCTGGATGGAGAGAAGATCAAGAGTGAAAGTAACTTTTGTGATTTCTAAATCCAAATCGAGGACGAGAGAAAAGTTTCAGCTGTTCTTTGATCAACTGGACAGGCTTCTCTAACAAGCAGGACTCCCAAAATGGAAAAAGAGCCAACTGGGTGAACAGAGAGTAGTAAGAGGAATTCCATATACGCTCTACTTTGAGGGTAAAATTGGAACCTACCTACACGGGGGACTTTGAACAAGTGCAGCAGGGATCTGGTACGACGACAGAGGAGAAGTTATGTTTTTTAGGTGAGAGGTCATTAAAGGTTGCATTTTTTGATTCGGCCAGTACCTAGAGCAGAACAGCATTCTGGAATCTGTAAGCTTTGGGGTGGCCTGGAAGCTCTCATTGGCTGCTGTGAGGGGTGAGAATGAGGTGGAGCCAGAATGGGGGCTTTGAGAAGCACCCCTGGGTGACCTGGGCTACTCCCTGTGGGGCTTGCTGCCAGCCAGCGGTCACCTCTCACTGGCTTTGCCATTCTTAATCTCCTTAGCAATTATTTGAATTTTGTGCAATTAGTTGA